CCCAGTTGCCTCATGGAAAAGCACCTTTGGGACAACCATGACCTTGATGACTGAGAATCTCCATAGACATCATGCATTGATAGTTTTTCCTTAACTATATAATAATGCATTAATATGTTTTGTGGGTTTTGCAATGTAGTGAGAGTAAGCAAATATATATTTACAATCAAATGAAGCATCACAAAGTATCTAAGTAGGCAAGAGAGAACACTGACTTTTTTGTGACATAATCTGCACGGATTGATTTATTCATCTAGAATAAATATGTCAATGGGCCATTGAGAGATTTCTAGTCAACAGGGAAGTGAAACCTGAAGCACTTAAGTTTGTATGTGTCAGATGGAGAGGACAGTCACAAGACCTCCTGAAAAGCAGATGGACCTCATGCAGCAAAGATATCATGAATATCTCTGGAGGGAAAAAAGATAGTTGGAGTGTATGAAGAAAGACCACCAACTTTTCCTTTGAACTTCTTAACAATAGGAACAATACCTCCATTAAAAAGACAGCATTTGTGTTATTGACATCCGCCTGTAATAAATAGTATACCAAATCCAATTATTAGTATAGTGGATCAACTCTTATACAAGATTCTACGGGCTCTCAAATTATAACTTTTCATACCACACTGTGAGAAGTAGCTACAATAATAATTTATTCCACAAAAAAGTATTGAGGCATTACCAACTTCTAAATATTCTAAAGCTATCAATCTATCTATAATTATTTTATCTTCTGCTCAACTGAAAAGTTAATATTTTTCCCTCATGAGTTTTGTGTAATTAAAGTATAGCTATATTGATATAGTTAGCACACACTTAGCTATTTTGCATATAACTTGAAAGCAAGAGAGAAATGTCTAGTTTCACAAAGATAAAAACAATTATTTTCCTGGAACAGTAGATTACGGAGGACTAGGAAATGAAACCTTTCAAAGAAACAAGACTAAATTTCAAACTGTACTAAAAAAAATCCCTTGCTGACCCATGCGGAAATTAGCAGTTCCCAGTTTTAAGTATTGCTGACAGTGAATTAAATCAACTAAAGGAATAACAAAATCCTTTTACCATCACTATAAACTGTGATTAGTTTTATGGTGGGCTGCTTTAAGAATTGTGTGCAAAAACGTTTGGGTTAGACCTCGTTTTATTGCTCTCCAAAATGAGTTCCAGCAGGTTTAAGCCAACATGAGCTATCTTTCTTGCTTCTGGATAGGTGGCAAGAAAAAAAATGAAACCATTTAAAGCAGGGGTGACAAACTCGCAACATCACGTGATGTGTCACGATGTATCACGACTTTTCCCCCATTGCCGGAGCTGGGGTAGGCGTGGTTTCAGCATGACGCATCCGGCCCATGGGCCGGCAGTTTGACACCCCTGATTTAAAGGATTTAGGGCAGGAAATACGAATGGCTGATCTCAGAACTAGTTATTCTCTTGAAATTCTGTTACTTCTATTAAAGCTAACTATGAGAAGAAATAATACATTTCAGTGGAAAGCAGAGGTGATCCTAATATAAGGAAAACTACCCTAGATGGCAAATTTTCTTCTAGAAACAAACTTTTAACTATGTTCCCCACTGTCATTCCATACTTGACATGCAGTTCTCCTCTTAATTCCCTCAGTTGCTTCTATCGCCCTCTCCCCCACACCAATTACTTCAGAGTCTCATACCAATGTGCTATTGTCTCACTATTCTATCTCACCAGGAGTCAGTGGGATTTGGCAAGTTGTACACACATTTTACAAGCTGATACAAGTCAATCTGGCTGCAGATATGCATTCTCACTGGGCAGTTTGTTCCTCCAGCCCAGAATGAGAAAATCAGAAGAGTCAAATGAAGTTCCTCCTAAAAGAGGGAGAGAGGATTGTTCTTCCAAGTAGCACTATTATTTTGGGTTCAGAATGACGTGATTGAACTGAATTGCCTTCCATAAAATCAAGATGCCCTTCCAAAATTATTAGCGCTGAACTAGCTAAACATTTTGGCATTCTTCATACCCCAAATCAGCCATAAAAGGTCTTTACCAATTCTCTCCTGCAACTTCATACAAAAAATAGTGGACATACAAGCACTCTTGGTGGTCTTGAGCCCTAGCAAAAACTGCCATCTGTGAAAAATATGCAAATATTTCATTTTTTTTTTAAAAAAATATTCCTGTAAACAGAAGGCATTGATGGGAAATCTGCCACCAAAGGAAGCAGATTTGAATTCATCCGTTCTACTCAGAACACTTTGTACTCCTTCAGAATATGAAAAAGGAGAAACTAGCAATACAGTCTATAAGTTTTGCAAAATTTGCTGATCCTACTTGGTTGTACCATAGTACATCTAAGATTAAATTATATTTCAAGATAGCATCAGTAATTAATTGACAGGTCTATATTGAAATAAATTAACTAGCTTGCAGGATCATCTTATTTTCAATAATGTCTATCCAAATGAGAAAGAGTCTCAGAAAGCAACCCCAATTTCTCTTTTGATAAATGAGGCTTTTGTGGGTGATCAAACCTACCAATAGCTTCCATTTTATAAATGTATAAGTTCTTCAACTGCAAGTGGTTAATGAGAATGTTCACAAAATACTCAAGGTTTCAAGTGTGTTCAGTAGCTTAAAACATTTGCCTACTTTTACCTAGTCTGTCCTTAGTCAAAACAAAACCTACAATTTTTTCAATATAAGATAATAAAAATCCAAAGGTTTTGTTTTTTATACACAAATTTGTTTGTGTATATGTGTATTATGGGATAAAATGAATATAAATCCCACAACTACCATGTAAGACTTACTTCGAGATGGTTGTGTATAGAATCAAATACTCATTCTATAGCTACTTCGTTGAGATACCCATATTGGCCATTTTTTTATTGTAACTCACAGTATACATAAACCTCCAACATATATAGGCTAAAAGAAGGATAAAAGCCTACACAGTATTATTTAAGTTTGACATCTATGCACTCCCAGTTTCAGAGCTGGTATGGGAACACAGGAATAAGGCATGATCCCATTCCTCCATTGTTTTTAATACTCTGCATCTAGCGCACCAACATAATCTCCATTATTGTGCATGCAACTTGCATTCATACCATGTTTCCTACTTGATTTTTTAAAACTGTGAGAAATGGAATGCTGCAAAGTAAAATGCCAAACTCTTATCTTAATGTTCAATAATGGTTTACAAGCTTTGTTATGAAAAAAAAAATACAGCTGGACCCAGCACTATCTTTGGAAGTATACCCATTTGCACCAAAAGAAGACAAAAACAAGCAACAATAACATCAGGTGGGAAGAGGGAACGACAGATAGCAATCTGTTTCATGTATGTATTAAACTAGATAGGGTGGCCATTTTGTGAATGGACAAGCCTCCTTAGAAGTGATTTTGTGAGAGTGCCTATACATATTCTTAAAATCTCAATTGTGCCCACCAGGCTGGGTCTCCTTGGTACAGACCATCTTTCCTGAAAGTCATGATTCAGTAAGTTGCCGTATTGTAATATTTCAAAAATAATCAATCTTAGTTTCTCTAAATTAGCAGTGTCACTAAAATGCAGAAAGCTAAAAATGTTTTCTTAATCCCAATTTATTGGAGTCAGCAACCAACAAGATGAAACATTTCATGTTTTTGTTCATGCTGGATACTTTAATACTGATAATCTTGTAAGAAACTTTCCATCAATCTTGAATTAATCAGGATTCAGAATCACCAACAATGCATCTTACATATATATTTTGCCTTTCTTCCATGAGGCCAAGACAACATACACAGGTATCTCCATGACCTCCTCAAAGCAACCTTGCCAAGTAGGCTAGATTGAAAGTTAATGAAAGATCAAATTCACCCAGGGAGCTTTATAGTTATGTATTTGTATGGTTTTCTCAAGTCATGGTCCCACATTCAAATTTATACACTACATTGGCTGCAAGTAAATTCAGTTTACTTCTGATCTACTCTACTAAAAGAAAACTGGCCCAACCATAAAATATATTGCCATATCTAAGTAAATTGTATCTCGCTGCTCCAATGGAATTGTTGCCATTTAATTCCAATTCTGGATTCACTCTGTAAAGCACAGCTTGATACTAAACATACACATTTGGATTTAATTTATCAGAAATTTTAAAATATATTAGCGGGAAACACAACATAACTATACCTAAGAGTACAGATACAAAATCAAAAGAAAACACATACATAACTGTTTGAAGTTACAATGGCGCTTATAAAAGTGACTTATTAAAACTTTTCATACTTATGACTGTTCTGATGCTTGGCTATTGGCTCATATTTATGGCAGTGTCCCGGGATCATGTGATCACCTTTTGTGACCTTCTGACAAGCAAATTCAATGGGGAAGCCAGAATTCACCTAACAACCGTGTTACTAACTTAAGTGCAGCGACCCAACGTAACAACTATCTCACATAGCAACAGAAATTTTGGGCACAATTGTGGTTGTAAGTCAAAGACTATCTCTATCCACTATTTGTTCAGAGAAATTTAGAACTCCCACAGAAAGTTTCCCACTAAGGCCAGCTTTTTACTAATGTGTCCTCTCATAGTTATCTCAAAGAAGATAATATGGAGCCAAAACAAATGAAAATTGGTCTAACTCAGAATTACTAACTTTGAAGGGCAGTAATTTACAACTGCTTTCCCACACATGCACTAACTTCAGAACATCTGCATTAAAGCCCCTCTGCTACTACTGAAGAGGACCCCCATCTTTTTTAAAAAAACAAACAAACAAACAAGCAAACAAAATTCTATTTGTTCTGAAGCTTTGGTAATTTATTATATGCCCAAAATGATCTTTGATCCTTACTTTTCACTTCCCCTGCACAGGATGAAGAACTTCATAAAGTATTTTAATGTGAAAACCCGGCTTTAGCACAACACATAGCATGTAGGCAGCAGCCTGGAATGCAGCTCTCAGCTGGGACTCCAAAGTCCACTAAGCACTTTTACAAGATGCCAAAGTGGCAATTTCACTCACCCCTAGCCATCTTGCTCCTTTGTTGGCGGCTTGTTGAATCTGTACTCTTTTGAGGGTGACATGGTAAACTGCTCCTTCCTCTATCTCTTCACCCCAGTCTTGGATTGAGCTCTGCCACAGGAAGAAAGGAAATGCTTGGATTTCTTACAATAATAATAGAAACAAAGACATTTTCCCTAGTTGTCTCGTGTTTAGGCCAGCCGCTGCACAATTTGTTTCAAAGGAGACCTTGCAAAAGGACAACCGGCATACAAAATACTCCAAATCTCCTCCAACTGCAAACTATTCAATGGAGAAAAAGGTAGAATACATAGCAAGATAAGTGCATTTCCATTTAACTTCTCTGGCACCCGATCCAGGATTTATACATATTTCAAACAGTTCCGCGGTACCATTTCCTAAGGAAATACCCCTCTGCATCTCGTCCCCAGTAACTATTATTGTTAGCATTTAAACTGCAGCAATAGCTGCACCTTTAAAAGCTACACAGGCATTTCAGACGGCAGTAAATATAGAAGAATTAGCTGAGTTTATTTCAGCCTTTTTTTTAAAAAAAAAGAAAAGAAAAAAATCAGACATGAGAAGAAAATGAGATAAGGTTTAACAGAACTCCATTAAAGATTTCTTTTTAAGAAAATTATGCATATCAGAAAGTTGAGGGGAGAAGGTCAGGAAACTGTAGCCTAACTATACTTGCTATGCAACTACAGTTTAATCACTGCACTAAACAATGCTAAAATTCTAAATTCTAAAAGACACACACATATATAGGAAAACAACTCATTTTGATTGACCAAGGATTAAAGTATTTGAGATTTGTACAAAAGCTTAGCCCGTTCATTCCCCCCCCCCTTCCCTTCCCTTCCCAACCCCCGCCGTTCTTTCCCACACTAAGTGGGAGAATTAGATTGCAGGCGGCGTCCTTTCCAAACTCGAATTCACACTAAGTCGCAGTTTTTTTAAAAAAGACGGCTTCAAAAAAATCTTTTTCCTGGGAAGCACCAGATATTCACCAAAGCGGTTTCCTTTCGCAAAAAGTAAACCTCGGAGTCCCGAAGGAGGAATCTCTCTGCCTATGTGAGAAGCCTTTTAGAAACGCAAGGAAGCTTTTTTTTTTTTTTTGGGCTGCGATGGTGGTGGGGTTACCATTTTAGCTCTCCAAAGCAATTTCATCCTTGGGGTTCCCCTCAGCGCTCCGAAAGGGCATGGTGAGCCGTAGGAGCCCGCTTTAAATAATCCTCTCGCAGGCACTTCTTCGCCTCGCTTGAAGGCAGCTCTCTCTCTCTCTCTCTCTCTCTCTCTTCCTTGCGCTCTTCTCTCAATTCATGACCACAAAAGAGTGGCGAGTGGAGAGCAGGCAGAGCTGAAGACTCCTCCCTACACACAGACACAAGAGTGATGTAAGGCTTTCCTGTTTATGCTTGTGAACTCTTTCTAGGCTTCAAATGAAGCCAGCGTTAAGCATCCTCCAATGGGCTCTGCGAACCCTCCCTTTCTGAAATTCTGCAAACTTTCTGAAATTCGGTCTCTTACGTTCCCCGACAAACACAAGGTGCCGAAGGAAGCATCTCCTTCCCCTCCTCCTCTACTTTTCCTTAACCAAAAGCCACAAAGAGAGAGCCCAGGGGTGAAAGAAGAGGTTTAAATAAACTGCCATCGCCTGGCGCTAGCTGGAGTCCTCTCCGAATAGTTGTTGCATGGAGTGAAATTTACAATGGGATGGACGCTCCTCCCACAAGGCATAGCTAAGTAGGCTCCGGTCAGAAATACACCAGCCTGGAGCTTTTCCAATGGCTCAATCTGCCAGGCGGGAATTGGATTATGGGAATTGAAGAATTAAAGGTCTGGTGGATACCAAAATAGGGAATGCTGATTCAGGAGAGTCAATGAAAGCCTGTCAGCCTGGAGGATGAACTACTCTGCCATCTGAAAAATTCTTGTTAGCCTGCTCTTGTTAGTTTACTCAAGGTAGGCAAGATTAACAGTAGGCTTTAGAGTTCTGTGGATTACTTCTTCCAATCCAAATGGGTAGTAATCTCATCTCCACCCGGAAAATAAAAAGTAACCGGGGGGGGGGGAATATCACTGACCCTGATGAAAGTGTATGGTTTGCACTCTATAGAATAGAGTGGTAAAGGTATACAAACTTGGATAAAGTTGGTTAAGTGGCTAGGTGAAAAATAGACTGAACGAACCTGCTGTAGAAATAGAAAAAAATGAAGACATTCTTACATTAATAAAACTGGTGATTAATTTTAGATGATGCACAAGCTATGAAATTAATATGATGGAAACCTGGATACTTTTATGGCAAATTTGGAGCTTGTAATGATCTTTGCAAAGCCACATCGTCAAGAGATAGATTATATTTTTCAATAGTTTTATTTGCACTACCTACTTCATTATGGTACAGTTCAAATAAGGCCTCAGACCTGTCCTGAATTATATATCTCTTTAACTCGCATGCCACAGAATCTTACATATTCTTTCACCAGTAGCAGCAGTAGCGGCATTACTGGAAGTGACAAGAAGATGTCTACACCAACGCATAATGCCAGTTTCCTGCAGCATGTTTATTTACATACACTAAAGGCATATAATAAAACTAAAAATAAATAAGGTGGTGACTAGAAGCTCTTTACCCATGAAAAATAAAGAAGTTGAAAGGTAACGATTAGCATCTTAGAGGAGGGCAAAAGCAAACTGAGGGGTGTATCTTCAGAAAATTCCCTTTTAATAAATGGGTATTTTGCAATTGTTGACAGCCAGAATGATAGTCATTTTATGGACAGAAAATTCTCCCATGGCAGCAACTGTGTGAACTCATAAAATGCCCTCTGGCCTAAAAAATGTTGTCTACCCTTTACTTATTTATTTGAACTTTCTGTCTTATAGCCAAACAGTAGTTATAAAATGTTACAGAAACATTCTGGATTAAGGAAAAGAATAATGAGAGTTTGTGCATCTTTAGTCAAAAAAGCCATTCAAGGAGAAATATTTTCAGTTTTAAAATATTATCTGTCTAGCACGTTACTAATTGTCAGGCAAAATAGTTGATGAAGCAAGAAAATGTGGAAGACTTAAAGCCATTAGAGACTACATTCAGAAAGACCAATTTTGAAGAATTTATAGGAGGAGTCAGGCTGCTTAGCATTTTCCCAAATCCAGTCCTTTATAAAATGAAATGCAGCAATGGACTGCATTTCACCTGACTTTGTGCAGCCTAGGCAGATAGTCCAATTGCATTGATTCCGTGTACTATAAGATCAAACCAGCATTTAGATTATTTTAGTCTAATGCACTTTTTGTTGACCTCAGTAACTTTAAGATGTGCAGTATGCTGGCTGGGGAATTCTGGGAGTTGAAGTCCATACATCTTAAAGTTGCTGAGGTTGGGAAACATACTCTGATGCCTTCTTCATGAGGCTACACTTAAAGAATGTTTAGAAATTCCAATTGATCCAGAATACCACAGTGAGAATATTAGTAGTCACTTATTGATTATTTCTGCCATACATGGTTACCGGTAGCTATTATTTGGTTAACAGGCTCACTGACCTTTTAAAGTCCAAATTCTTGATTCTGAACAATTACTATCCATATAATACTTTGGTATTAAGTTAGGAACGTCTATTATACTTAACTGTATCTATCAGTGGAAATTTTCATTTCATATAGAGTTAGTCTGGAGAAATTCAAACATTAAATAATTTGTTTAAAATGAAAAATCTTGCAAGATGGTTCAGTGCTCATAGCAAGTTAATATTCAGTCATACCACTATAGGAGATCGTGCAATAGAGCTGGTTGTTCACATATTTGAATCCCACTACTGAACATACCTAATTGGGAAGACCATGTTTTCTTAGTTTAAGCAATATATTTTGTTCAAATGTATGGTAATGTAGATAATACTATAATGACATTATGAAGTCTATTAATTGACCAGATGGAAATTTGTGGTACTAATCAAGGATATGGAAACTAGGTATTTTATTTTACTGCTTTCCCTGGCGTCACATAAATTACACTTCACACATGTTGAATATCGCTATTGCTGTTTAATATTTTGAACAGCTAATATTTTGAATAAAGATTTGTCCTAATTCCAGATGAATTCCCATATCCACTTAATGCATTGATCATCATTATGGATGATCTTTAATAAATATGTATTCAATATTTTTACATATGCTTATAGTAGGCATACTATGCTTCACCTAATGGTTTTCTAGGCAAGCATTTATGGGACAGAACATTTTGTGTCTTTGCTTCCAAATGCTTTCAGTTATTTAGTCTTCAAGAAAATGCCCACATTGACTTGGAGAAAGAGTTTAGTATCTGCTATAATAGTTACAGCATTGCAGAGAAACTGCTGAACCTAGAACAAGGCAACCATATCATAGTCTTCTCTGCTAATCTTAAACTTTTAACATCTTTGTTCATATTTCTTCCCAGCCCTCACAGCACACTGCCACTTACCTCCCTTGATTCTAAGCTGTGTTCAGGAATGGGAGACTTAATTATGATATTTACACTCACATTCACTAATTATATTTTAATTAATAGATATTATATGAATTGTATTAAATATTTGGGTCATTGGCAGACATTTTCTCTCTTTGTATAATAACAATAGTGAGGTAGGAAAAAATTATATATGGTAACGTTTCCCAGCCTCCACATCTTCCAGATTTCTCAGCATATTGGCTGGGGGATTCTGAAGTTCACATCCCCAAAGATGACTAGGTCAGGAAACCCAGATCTACAGCATTTATGCCATGCATTTGAGCTGTGTTGGCGTAGTAGTTAGAATGCAGTATTGCAGACAAACTCTATTCACTGCCAGGAGTTTGATTCTGACCGGCTCAAGGTTGACTCAGCCTTCCATCCTTCTGAGGTCGGTAAAATGAGGACCCAGATTGTTGGGGGCATTTTTAAACCACTCAGAGTGTGTGTAAAGCACTAGGGAGCAGTGTGTAAGTCTAAATGCTATTGCTATTGCTGTTACAAAGTTATGCCAATTGATTGCTGTTTCATGGGACCTACTTAGAAAAGGAACATTCAGGGAACTCATTGGTATCCTGGGCTAAAATGTATGATGTCCAGGCTTATTTCATTTGTGGCAGTTTCAGTGGGATGGAAGAATTTCCATTCCAAACTTACCAGATAAATTGGCAAGAATATAAAGACTTTGAATGAAATTGAAATTTAGTTAACTAGGATGCAGGACTACAAGTGTCTATTGTATTGTGCACTTAGCATAAAGAAGACTAATATTTGTAAAATGAAATATGTGCAACCTTAGTGCTACCCATGAAGATTGTGCAGAAGCTAGAGCATTTTTTTCCACATAATTGCTCAATAGAGTTTTATCTTGAAAAGCAGATGCTTTCAGATGATTCTGAGAGCAAGAAGAGATAGCTTTGTTCTTGCCCCATTCCTGGGCTTTGAAGAGCAAATGGACTCCAGGAATTTTAGTAGAGAGATGAAAGAATAAGAAAAGTTAAAGAACTTATTTTCTTCTTGTCAGTCGAACTCTTGAAGGCATAGGACTCAGGCCAGAAATAAAAATAGTAAGCAGAAGATTGGGTGATTATGCCACTTATCCACTAAACAACGTATTTTCCAAGAATGCATTACACAAGACTGAATTATTTACAAGCGGGCAAGTCATGTCCCTACTGTTGCCAAGAAAACTACAGAGCTTGTCCAAGGGAATGTTACCTCTTGCTTGCGTTAATACATATTCTTAAGTGTATCTGTTTCTACATTTATACAATATGCATGGAGTTGGATGTGCCTCTGTGACTCATCTGATTATTGCATTTTTTCACTACTTGAATTTCTGACCTGTTATAGCTATAGATAGCTTAAGTGGGGCGAGCAATGCAAGTTATGCTGATGGCCACTGATACTGAAGTGGCCAGTTAGGGAAAATCATGGGAGGACAATGTTCTCCAGTTCCAGCATGCTTCAAAATATCAGTTGGTAGGGAACATGAATGTTACTATGTTCATGTTCTGCATATGTACTTTCTGCAAGCATTGCTTGGAGATGATAGGAACAGAATCCTGGATTAAGTCAGCCTTTGCTCTTATGCAACAGGCACTCTCTGATGCACTTAATACAGTACTAGGATTAGAAAAAAGACAGTTGTTTTCCCCCAGAACTGAAGCTGGTATGATAAGCCACTATTGCTTGTGATTCATTTACAGATCCTTGTAAAACTTGTTTGACTGCAGATGATAATAGGACAGAAGAAGTGACTGTATATATAAAC